GTCTACTACTAGTTTGGGTTCCCTTTTTTTCAGAAGCAGTGAGGCTTACATTAAGCTGTTTACCATTCAGTGTCGTACCTGGTTTCTGCTAAAGGATTACCCAAATGGGATAGAAATTGGTGCATCTTTACTTGTCTTGAGCTGTTCCCTTGCTTCCTGGGACTTGCAATTGGATAGTCCTTTGACAATCTTATCCAGTTCAAAAGGAAAACATGGACCAAAAATACAACCTTTTGCCAGGAAATTTTTACTTTCTGATTTGGGGCAAGACTGTCTCTTCTTCCAAGCTGGTCAAGCGCTACCTGACCAAAACACTGGTTGGAAACAAGGTGGTGTCGTTGATGTTAGTTTTAGTTTTAGATGTGATGTGGATTGTACTATTAACCTACCTTCCAGAGTACAAAGTTTACCTTATTCAGTGGTGAGCTTATCATTTAGACTTTGCTGGGACTTACGTGGCTGATGTAATCCACTGTGTATGATACCTCCTTCTGTTCTTTGATACTTGTTCAGTAAGCTGGGAAGTGAAGGTTGCTGAACAGCACTGAGTGTCTAAGAATTTAGACCAAACTGAAATCTTATATAGAAGGAGGAGTCAATACTTGAATGTTGAGGTAACTGCTATTTAGTTAGGTAAGGTACTGGCATCTATGACACTGATGCTTGTCCTAAGCAAGCTGTAGTAGCTTGAATTTAATAAAAATGTCAGGTTTTGGCTTTGTTTGATAGAGGATTTTTAATATACTGTGTTCTTGCTTATCATGCAATCTCTTTATACCTAAATACAGAGCTGCAGCAGTCTGTGGCAGTACTAGTTACTTACCAAATGAATGCTGTCATCAGGACACAGTAGCCTACTTAGGTTTCAGTTTTGTACAAAGAGGGAAGATCTGGTAGTGACTGAAGTCTAGCACAGGTGGAAGATTCATTAACATGCACCCGCTCTTTTGCAGATTCAGAATCTGAAAAATCATTAAGTGGGTTTGAAACAACAGCCTACTCATTAGAGGACAGCATGGATTCAAAAGATACAGTAACTTCAGGCATGTCTGAAGAAAAGGTTTGTGGCAGTGGGGAGTTGCTGTCTAACGGAATCAAAAAACACAGGTAGGATTTTGCCTGTTCTTACGGTGTTAAAATATGTATTAATGGTGAGTAAAAGACCACAGGAATCTCTGAAAAGGTAACTGTGAAAGCTTTTAAAACTTTGTTAGAAATGATTGACAAGTAGTTGGTTGCGCTATGATTTTATAAAGACTATTTTTCCAAGGCTAGTGTGCTCCTTTGCATCTTGTTTCTTGATGATCAAATCTGAGTAAGTAAAAATAAAATATAATGTGCTGTGTAAAAATAGACACATTTGTTTTTATAGATCTTACTGAAATCTATGTGGATTTTAATTCCGTCATGTATCTTTAATGACCTGTGCCTCCGCTTGCCTCTTTAATTTCCAGTCATTTGATCCTTCTGTTGGTATCAGAAATGAACGAAAAATATTGCTAGCCTGGTATCAGAAACCCAAATGTGAACAAAAGGGAGTCTCATTCTAAAAGTCTCATCCATGTTTTATGTGCTTTATTTTGTATTGTCAAATGATCCATTTTTGTTTGTTTCCTTGCTGATAAAGGAGGACAATAGGTCTGGAGTTAATGAGATGTAATAGACACCACTATTCTCGAGTTGCAGTGAAAGGGCAATATAATGTTTGTGCTACAGATCAAGCCAGACTTCAGCATATTTCAAAAAGACTACTTTGGAAGTGTTCTGGATGTGCGGAATGATGATGTGGACATCAGATTTCTGTAAAAACAGGAAATTAAGTATTTAATTTTACAGAAGCAAGCAAGGCATGCTTTAATTAGTTGGTATCTTAAATAGTTAAATTGCAGTGACTCTTGAAGTATGTGGTAATGTCAGAGACCTGATGTTTCAAGTTGGAGCGAGTCCAGAGGAGGCCACGAAGATGATCCGAGGGCTGGAGCACCTCTGCTGTGAGAACAGGCTGAGAGAGTTGGGGTTGTTCAGCCTGGAGAAGAGAAGGCTCCGGGCAGACCTTAGAGCAGCCTGCCAGTACCTAAAGGGGCCGACAAGAAAGCTGGGGAGGGACTTCTTACAAGGGTGTGGAGTGATAGGACAAGGGGCAATGGCTTTGAACTGGAAGAGGGGAGATTTAGATTAGATATTAGGAAGAAATTCTTCCCGGTGAGGGAGGTTGAGGCAGTGGCAGAGGTTGCCCAGAGAAGCTGTGGCTGCCCCATCCCTGGCAGTGTTCAAGGCCAGGTTGGATGGGGCTTTGAGCAACCTGGTCTGGTGGAAGGTGTCCCTGCCCACGGCAGGGGGGTTAGAACCAGATGATCTTTAAGGTCTCTTGCAACCCAAACCATTCTATGATTCTATGTATGTCCCTCTCATACTAGGTAAAGACTAAGGCGAATGAGGGCTTGGGTGGAGTAACAGGGTGGTTTGGAAAGATAACATAAGGCAGCTGACTAAGCATGTTGCTTTGTGCTCTTGTACTGTTAGCAAGGTAGTATTTATGGCCTTGGCTAAGTGCCTTTCCTAATTAGAGCAGAAAGTTCAGGGGTGATGGGGAAGTACTAGGTGAAGGTAGACATCTGCACTGCATTCATTACGTTGGAAACAGTGAGGAGAGAGGAGGCAATTCATGATCAGCATGAAAATGATGGTGCATGTTGACATGCATTGTCTTGAGGAGTTTTAATGGGAATTGATCTTCTGTTTACTATAAAAAAGTAACTTGTCAAGTTTCCGTAGTGCTGCACTATGCTGTCAGAACTGTAGGCAGCAGGTGGCTGGAGGAGCATTTAAGATCTGCTGGGTTTACAAAGGAAAATGAAAAGTAATAAACAAGTACCTCTGCATAAGTTGTTTCTGAGTTACCTGTCTTCTAGTAGTAAAGAGTATAGGATGTTGGAGTAAAACGAGTGCATAAATTGACTGGCTAATAATTTACTGCTAGTGGAGACATCTGTTTTGCATACAGATAAGAATGTATGGTTGTATTTCAAGTGACTAAATCACCATAGGTTCAGCTGTAATGTCAAACTTTTTTACCCGGCATCTTGGTGACACACTGGGATTTGTTCACAGATACATTGATGCAAACTGTTTCTCCCAAGACCTCAGCCAATTTAAACTTTACCTCCAGGAGAACCTTCTCCAGGGCTGGGAGTTGTGTGGTGTTTCTAGCCTCGTTTCTGAGGCTCTTGATGACAGTGATGTTTGGTGTGGTAGGGGCCGACCTCAGAACTGTTACCTACCTGGAGCTGTTGTGCCTCTTGGTTTTGGGGCTAGTTACAGGGCATGTGGTCAAACATGCATCTTCTGTGATGCCACTTGTGTCGTCATTGGAGCAGAAACCTTAACTTCTTGATGCTTTGGAAAGTGAGGGGGTCAGAATATGTTGACAGCACTTAATGCCATCCTTATAGCCTTGGGTTTGCTATAACTTTTTTGTTTAGCTTCCATTTGTGTTAACCACATGGAAACAAGTCACCTAGAGAATAGACTAGATTAATTTATTTTGCTTAAAATCTTGATACTTTACTGTAGTTCCTCAGATAAATAGAGGATCTGCAGCTGCTTTTGTGTTGCACATGACAGTACCTAATGCTGTTTAGCAGTCGGTATCAATAAGACTATTTCCTACCTTCATCTAGAAAAGCTGAGCTCTAATCTGCCTCTCTTATTTGAAAGGTGAGGGTTTTGCACAGGAAGGTGAAGATCAGTTTTTAATTGGGAGGTGGGGTTGGTGTTTTGGTTTTGGAGATGCAGGAATAAATCTGTTGGTTCCAAAGAATTAAAAGTGTTGGGATGTACATGTAAAGATAGGTGAAGCCAGTGCTGCTTATAATCTGCTGTCTTATTCTGAGTTTTTTTAATGTAGTTTCCATCCTATTGATTGTTCACAGTGTGTTTTGAAAGTGGACTTAATTTTTGAAAACTTTCTGGGAGAGGATTTGAGAGATAGAAGACTAGTACATTAAACAATTTGGAAGTATTCAAATCACTTCTTTTTAAGAGGGGAATTTTTAATCTGAGCCAAACTTTAAAAACAAAAACCAAAAAAACCTACCAAAACCACAAACCTGACCAAAACAAACAGAACAAACAACACCTTCCCCCCCCCCCAAAAAAAAAAACAAACAGTGAAGACAAGAAAAAGTAAACATGAGGAGCCAGAAGTGAAACAAATTATGGCAATAAACAGAAGCCAATTTTATGGTTTCACTTTGGAAAAGATCAAGAACCTGGTAGTCAGCTTTCCCTTTGGACCCCCATTGGGGGCCTTTCAGAATACAAATATGCTTGTGTTTAGCTTTTTGAGAGCTCGGAGGTTATTTTGTCAGAGTTGCATGAAGAGCAAGTCAAACACACTTTTTTCACACCATATATCTCCTTCTCCACAAGATTCCTGTAGTAGCTGATCTACTATAGATAATGCTTTGAACAAGTGTTTTTATGTGAGTGATCTTAAATACATTTTATCTGTTCCACTGCACAGAAATTCCAGCAGATGTTTTGGTCACTTAAAACTAAAATGAACTTCCTGAGTTGTTTCTAAAATTGACATCTGGAAGGAAATTTTTGCATTCACAAACCTTTCCCTTAATTACAGGGAGTGTGTCAAGGTTAGTAGGCCTCAAGTCTTGGCTGCCTGTCATTTTTCTACATGTCCTTACTTGTCCCTGCAATCTTTCTTGGTGTTTTAAAACTGCTTTGTTTCTTCACTATGTGTGTGTTCTATGGAGAAAGGAACTGACTCCTGTATCAGGTTTGGCTGATATAGGTAAGAAATAGAGATGAATGGCTTGAAGCTGAATGCCAACTTTCAAGTAATTAAACAAATTGGAGGGACAGGTTAACTTTAATGAAAATGTAAGTTTTAATATGTAAGGAAAGCAATCCCTGTGTATACTTTAGTAAACGAGAGACGCATGAGTGTGTTTTACATGCAGAAGGGCTTACTTAAACACAAATAACCTGTGCTGTTAACTGCATTCATTACAGAATACACAGAAAAAATAAGTAAACACTGCAAATGAAGACCAAATACTTGGTGGACACTGTCCTTTCCTGGAGACTTGTATCAAAGCATCCACAGAAGTATTTTATAGTTAATAACATTCAAGATGATCTATTTCACGAAATATTTTATTTTAAGGAACACTTTCTGGTTTTGTTCTTTCTGAAAACTGAAGCATCCACCCTGGTAAAAGTGTTTCAGTAGCAGATAAGTATGGGAAGGTAACACAGCAAGTAAGGCTACTGAAGCTAACAACTTAGCCTGAATAGATTCCCCCCCCCGCCTCCTCTTGGCAATGTTTATCAGAAAAATGAAGTGGAGGAGGCAGCTACAGCTTGTTCACACTCTCTAAAAAAGATACTGCTTTAGCTACTTTGAGGGGAGACAAGACCTTCTTGGTTAGGACTGCAGCACGATCATTTAGATGGAGTTAACTAAACTTTGAAACTCAAATAGTTCATGCAGTTTGAGTGAGTTGTAGGTGATTCTTACCTCTTGAATTTTTCTCATTGGTAATGATCTCATGGTTCATGATCTAAACACAAATTTTACTGTTGTTGTGGACAAAGGTCTTTGACCTATGTTTACGCCTTTCTGTAGCTAAATTGGATTAATACTTCAGATGGTCAGTTTTCAGTAAGAAAACTGAACAAAATCTGTGCCTGATTTCTCATGAAGCTGAGAAATACAGGGTGTATTACACAGCCTAAATGTTGATCTTGAAAGTGTGTTTAAGACTTGCTTCAGGATGTGTCAGCCCCCTGTAGAACAGGCTGCTGTGTTTTCTGTTCTTTAATGATGCTGCTTTTTCTGTTGTTACAGAGGGCTGATTTTAATATAAGCAATAAATTTCATGGCTCTTCATTGTCAGTATACAGGTGACTAGCAAAAAAAAAACCAACCCACTGTTTAACCCTCAAATCTGTTGAGACACAGTGGACGTACACCTATGTACCTACTTAGAAAGAACTTACTTTTTCTCACAAAGACACAACTAAATATCTTAATGGTGCCGTTGTGAAAACACTGTTCTGATAACTAATGTAGAAATTCTCTTCCACTGCTCTTATGCAAAATGAAGAAATGGTTCTGTGTTTGGAGAAATTCAGGTTTCTGTGCAGGTAAAACAGTTTAAGTGCTTCAAAGTAGCACTGTTGTTCCCCTTTCATTTTTAATTTAAAAATTGGAAAACTGTTACTTTCAAAAAAGAGTATTTGGGTTTCTTAGTCATGGTTAGTAATGGAAAACTTTTCTTACTTCTGCTTTCTTCTCTGCTCCTTCCTGCAGAACAAGCTTGCCATCTCCGATGTTTTCCAGAAATGACTTCAGTATCTGGAGTATCTTAAGAAAATGCATTGGAATGGTAGGTAATCAGAAAACTATGATAAAAAATATGAAATTGTTTCATTTGAGGACCAAATGAAAACTTGTTGGGGAGAAGGATTTTTTTTATTTATTTGCTGCTTGTGCTTTATTTGCTTTCACAACTCAAGGGTAAGACTTGATCGGAGCAGTATTCCTTTAGTAATTTTAACCCTTTAACTTTGTGGTAGCAAAAATGTTTTACTTTGAACAAAACCAAACCAAAAAAACCAACTACATTAGTTTTACTTTTTTCCCTTTCCCGTAGTATCTTGGTCTTCCCCTCCATGGTGTTACTGGCCAGATGGTGGCCAAATCAGAGGTTTGCTTGGTTGGCATCTAATCTGCTTCCAGCTAAGGCTGAATTGAGAGGGTTGGATCTCTCCATTAGATACTGCAATAGGCTGAAAGTGCTTATTGCTGATAAGCCTCTGTCAGCCTGTAACAGTAGCCTACAGAAGAGAACGTGTGTTTAGTTGCTGTTGTTTTTCTCCCCCGCCCCTGCTGTAGTTAAAAACAGCACCAAGCAATGAGACTGGGGAACGCCTTTATCAGCAGCTCCAAGTCGCCCGAGTTGTTGTGAAGCATCTGAGGCTTCTCACAGTGGCTTTAGCAGAACGGTGTTATAACCTTAGGATGTAAAGAGCAGACTGAAAGCCTGCTTTGCATAAGGTGTGTGCGAGGGCGGGCCATAAAGGTCTTAATTCTGCTTTGCAGAAATTCCTGCACTGAAGTTGCAGTTTTGGAGGGGGAGCAGAACTTGGAGTGGATTATACCAGTGTCTACCAAAGCTGTTAGTGCCGATGCAGCTATTATGGTTAAGAGCAGTGCTGTTTACTGCACACATTGCCAGTGGTCATCCTATGTGCTTTCAGTTTGCTACCGCAGGCAGTTTAAAACATTGCTATGTTATGCATTCAGAGAGCATGCTTTTTAAAACTGGAGAAGAGAATAAACAGCATCAAAACTGTGGGACCTCTTTTGAATTTTTATTCCTGTTACAAACATTCCTTTTTTCTTCAGAACCCAGAATCCCTGTTTTCACTCCTGTGCCACCACATTTCCCTGTCCTTTCTCATCATTCTCCTCCTGCTTGCCCACCTGCCTCCAAAAAAGATAATATGTTTAAGTAATTAGATGGCCTATATCTATTTTAAGAGTAATAAATAACTTAGCCTTTAAAAGGGTCCTTAATACTTAATTCCATTGTTTTCTCACCTTCCTAATGCATTTATTGATAGGAAGTTTGTTTGATGTTTGGTTTTCTTTTTGTTTTAAAAGTAACCTTAACATCAACACAGATAGGCTTATCAAGCTCATAAGGGATGTATAGGGTTTTTTCCTTTCAGCTTTAGTGGAGCCAGGTCAAGCACATTGTATTAGCACTAAGAGCATCATTTATTTTTGTAATAAGCCAATTACACTTGGGTTACTGCAGGTCAATGTATCTAATCATTTGGGGTTTTTACACAAATTTCATTTGTGCATCAGGAGTTGTCGAAGATCACAATGCCGGTTATATTCAATGAGCCACTGAGCTTTCTACAGCGACTTACAGAGTATATGGAGCACACATACCTCATCCACAAAGCCAGCTCACTTTCCAGCACAACTGAGCGAATGCAGGTACTTTGGGTGTGATAATTTGCGCTAGCTCTTGATGAATGTGTTGGGATTTTTTTCTTCATAGATAGTCTCATTATAGGAGGAACTCCTGTAATTTACTGCATGTCAGATTCTCTTCAGATTCTCTTCATTAACCAGTTCTGTTTATCTAGGAAAATGTTTTGCTTTACCTAAGGCTCACTTTTTTAGCCTTTTGATGAAAACTGTTTATTCCCCTGCCTTGCAAACAGAACTTTGCTAAGCTATTTCAGAAGAATCGTTCTATAATACCTTGACTGCTGTTGATACGTGATAAAGACTAAAATCCAGGAGATTAACTGTGTACTCTTACTCTTTTGAATAGTGTGTTGCTGCGTTTGCTGTGTCTGCTGTAGCCTCGCAGTGGGAACGTACAGGGAAACCGTTCAACCCATTGCTTGGAGAGACATATGAATTGATCAGGTAATGAACAGAAGATGCACTGAAGAGTAGAAAGTGGTATTCTGTGTAACTAGTGTTTCATTAGAGTTGTCAGGTGGCTTGCAGACTACTCTTCAGCTTGTAAGATTCCACCCATTCTCTTAGCAGCTGCTGGAGGCGCTTTCAATGTGTGTTGGTGTTCAGCAATGCACCTTCCAGTGGAGGGAAACTGCTTAACTTTTTCAAGCAGGCAAATGAAATTTGCCAGGTTTAAAAGCAAGCTTTAATTACAAAAATGGCTTTTTTCTGAAACCTTCTGAATGAAAAGATGCGTGGTACATAGCAGAGGTGTTAGAATTAATATTCATTGTGTGAGTGTCCAGAATACAAATAGGCAATACTAGTGTATTAGTGTGCAGCTGCACTTAGGGCATATTTTTCTCTCAGGTGAGATTTTGGCCTATGTTTATGCAAAAGTTTAAGAAAGAGATCGCTGTGAAAAGTAGACATATTGGCTGATCAGATTTTGTAGTTCTTATTACCTTTTTACATTGTGTCCTCAGTTATTTAGAATGAGGATGTTCTATTTGTTAGTTGATCTGTCTTTTTGTTTTATCCTAGGGTTTTAACCAATTCTTGCACTGAGTACAGCAACTATGCATGGGTCCAACTGTCTGTTTCACCCTGGGGAATAGAACTGCAATGTCACTACACTTGATACGTAGATACATGCTTTTTGGTTATCTTTATTTTGCAGAGATGATCTTGGATTTAGACTTCTCTCAGAGCAAGTTAGCCATCATCCACCAATCAGTGCTTTCTATGCTGAAGGTTTAAATAATGATTTTGTGTTTCATGGATCAATTTATCCTAAACTCAAATTCTGGGGCAAGAGTGTGGAAGCAGAACCAAAAGGCACAATGACTTTGGAGCTTCTTGAGTAAGTTGATAATTAATAATTGCGTCGACACAGTGGCCATGTCCATAATGATTAGTGTGCATTAGTCTCATGACTCGGGAATGGGCATGTCTAACACCCACATCCTAGTGTTTGATGGCAGATCGCTTTGCGGGGAGGCGGGGTGAGAGGATGAAAGGAACTGCCATCGTTTCTCCTGATATGCTGCATACTAATAGTAGCAGTTGTTAGGGCTGGTGTCTGTGTGTTCCGCAGATGCCTGGACATCAGTCTTACTAAGACTAGCACACGTGAGTCCTGTTGACTTTCCTCATGTCATTCAGTGCTAACAGTGACTGCACTGAAGTAGCTGTTTTAAGGAATTGTTAAAATCCGTAGCAGTAAGTTAATAAACTTCTTGGGTTTCCTGACTTATTGCCATGTCTGTTTCAAGACTTGGTACGCTTTATAGATGATGGCTTGTTGCAGGAGTGACATCCAGTACAAAGATACAGTATTTTAATTTTTATTCCCCTCCCTTAGACACAATGAAGCCTACACGTGGACAAATCCTACGTGCTGTGTGCATAACATTATTGTGGGCAAACTTTGGATTGAGCAGTATGGAAATGTGGAAATAACTAACCATAAGTAAGTTAAGAGTGAGAGTGCTTTCAGTTGCTGCAAGTTTGAAAAGGAAAAGCATTTGGAAGTAATTAGTGCGCTCTTGTTCTGCCTTTAGAACTGGTGAGAAATGTGTACTAAGCTTCAAGCCCTGTGGCCTCTTCGGGAAGGAGTTGCACAAAGTTGAAGGCTACATTCAGGACAAAAGGTAACAGCTTCATTCCTAATAGGAAACAAATGTCTGCCCTCTGTTTCTGACAGGAGCACAGGAGCTGTAGAACTGAATGCATTTAACATAGTCTGTCAAGGGCATGAACCTGCAACAGCAAGGCTGTGAATCATGCAACACCAGTATTGGAGTTTGAAGAGTTGTTCTGAAAAGTTCTTTCAAGTATTTCTGTCTGAAATGTTGAAATAAATCTCTTTAAGCTCCTTTGTAAACTTAGTCTTTTTTTGACAGCAAAAAGAAACTTTGTGCACTGTATGGGAAGTGGACCGAGTGTTTGTACAGTGTTGACCCAGCTACATTCGAAGCTTACAAAAAAAATGACAAGAAAAATGCAGAAGAGAAGAAAAGCAGTAAACAGGTATTAATCATGTAAAGAGATGATATATTAAAAGTGTGATAAGACAGCTAAATATTTTAGTAGCATCGAAGAGCATTAAGATTTCTTTTCACTTAGTCTCTCTTTCCTAGAAGGATACAAAACGGATTGGATGAGTACCAGCATTAAGGGATAAAATATTTTCTCTCAAGGACTTGTATTCAAACTTCCCAAAACTTGGTGTGATCTAAATACTGGCTGATTCATTACCTGCCTCCTCCTCCCAAGTCACATGGAGGAAATAGCACATCCATTAGTTGAACCAAGGTTCTGATCACATATGATAACATTTATATTCCAATAGGAGGGTTTTGACTCCTAGAGGCAGGATAGACGACTTTCTCATCTTGATAGAAGATCGTACTTTCCAGCTTTTACAAGGAATTTTTGTATTGCATTCTATTAAATTTTCACAACCATACAAATGCTTGCTTTTTTTTTTTCTCTCCACAGTTGTGTTATTTTTTCCTCTGGGGGGAAGAAAACCTCATTCTTAATTTTTCTAGACTTCTGGTCAGCAGTATGCTTTTTGGTTTAAGGTGAATGGTGATGGTGACAACATACAGCTTGATGAAGAATAACCACTCACATAGTAGCTTAAAACAGGGACTGTTCCCCTTTGGTGACTGAAGCCGGATTTTTTTTTTGTTGGTTTGGGTGTTGGTAAGAAAAAAGAGACAGAACTCTGAAAGCAGTTGTTCCTGTGCAGGATCAGAGTGTTGCTGTATCTGAGCTTGCTCTGGTGCTTGTCATCAGGAGAGTGCTAAAGCACTGGGGATTATTAATGCTTCTCTTTGAGTCTGACCCTGTGAGCTCTAGGGAGAAGGAGCAAAGAAAAACATACTCTGTGTCTTTGTTCAGCTACCACTTTGCATTTTCTAACAATGCTTAAGATGATCCTTGCTTTTCACTGCAAAATGAAGCATCCTATTGCATAAAGCTCAAGTTGCAATGTTGCTCTGACTCTAGAAAAGCATGCTTTTTCTACTCATTTAACGGAACTATTTTGTGTAGAAAACAGAAAGCTTTGTAATGCACGCCATGAATCAGGTAGTCTTTGTTGAATATGTATTCCCGCTGCCCTCTTGTGTTTGAGGAGTTGATATGGTTTATGGGTTTTGAACATCTAGGTGAGCCAAGTCTCATGTATAACGTCTGGATGTGGTTTGTCGCTTCATGGTAGTGAAGGATTCATTCAGGCATGAAAGTATATGGCCTTTCAAACTTCTCCTAATTAGAATTTTCAGATTTATTTAGTTGTTTTTCAGCTATTCCTTTGTGCTGTGTTGTTACTAAGGAAGAATTGCTTCCATCTCTCTTGAGAGGACCTGCTTATATGTGAGTCCTTTTGCAAATTGCCCCAGATTTTCCTCTGAATCCTTTTAATTTTTATGGGGATAAAACTTAAGGAAAAATAACTTTGCAGGGAGCTAGACAAGGCTTCATGTACACAAAGGTGACATTTTACCAGTGTCGGAAGAGTTATGGTAGACCTGGGGTTAGACCAGGATGATTCTGGTCTGAATGAACTAGAGCCTTTTTTAATCAGGATGAAGCATTTCTTGCAGAATTTTCAGTGCAAATATATGGAAGAGTACAATGTAAGGCAACAGCAGCTGCCCTCACATGTACCTCATTTACAGACACCAGAGGTCTTGCTTTGGCGAGGTCTGTTACTACCCTCCTAGCCATATACTGAGAGGTTGAGTGGCACTGAGCATAACATATGGACCATTGTGGCGAGAGCACATGAAAATCCACTTTTTACCTAGTTCTTTGTAATTCTTAAGACATTTTTAAGATTATGTATCCAACAAGGCACAAATTTGCAGTGTGTATTGTAGCCTTTCTATAAAAGTTGGTTTGGAGTTTGACTGGTCTGGTATTGAAGTGTCTTTGTTTTGATATAAGGATATCTTTCTGATCTGTTCTGCTTCAAATTCCTGATTTCTGAAAGATTTGATCAGTGCCCTTTAAAGGACAGAACGGCAGGTTGCCAGCACAGTTCAGATGTAGTCAACTAAAAGCCCTGCTTATCTTCCTAATAGCTGAGGGACTGAACCTGGTCGGCATGTTATTCTGGTTACTTTGCAACCTGGTCATTATTAAAAGCGCTGTACCCAGGTGCTCCACAGTGAAACACAATCCTTAATACTTCTTCATTTTCTTGGAGGCATAACACATGAATCATCTCAGGGACAACTGAGTCCAGTTTGGGTACTGGATTTTTTTGCACTGAAACATCAGTCTGTATTATCTGACGCAACCATCAGAGAGCAAAGCTTATTATTAGCAGCAGGGTTAAAGCTGTTGGCATGTAGCCAGAGTATTTAAAGCTTTAGTTGCCTTTAAGTTTAGCTTTAATCTCCAGTAGTCTCTGAAGCGTGCTGCTGTTTTTAGCTGCAATAGTGACAGCCAAGTTTTCTTGGGAGAGCCGTATTCATTGTCTAGCTGGCTTTAGTTCACTGTTGTAACATGCGCTTGTGTGGCGGAATTAATGTCAGCAGCGTTGGACCCCAGCTGCTTTAAAACTGTGCGTAAAAAGGATGATGGTTTAGAACTAGTTCAGGTCACATCTACACTGTGACCACCAGTTACTGTCTACTGCCCTGGTAACCCTGGGTGGAGTTTTTGCCTTTCTGGGAAAACCATTTCACTGCAGCTGTCTCAGGCTGTGTATGTCAGCCTTCCTAGGATACCCTTTCACCCTTCCCAGAAGTAGCTAATCTAGGATATTCATTTAACATTTGCAGTTTGCCATTTCAGTAGTGTGGTGGTCCATGGAAAGGAAGGTTCCTCTCAGCAAAGAGCAGTAGCATGGGGCTTTCTGTTGTGCACAAACTGAAGACAGCAATTGCATTATGTGCTGGCGTTTCTGTGTGGAAGGATACGGAATGTGACTTCTATTCTTCAACTTTAATGGAGCTAAATACCATGCATGGAAATGCTTGAGTTTGAGGAAACGGGACATCTCTGTCATGGAAAAATTGACACTTCTTAACGCTTGAATATCCAGATTATAGCTACAAAGGTGTTGATGCAAGTCTTCCATTGGGACGGAATTGGGACTATGTATGCTATGTTAATGCTGTTAATCCTTCTTGACAAGCATCTAAAAAGTTTCTCTGTTGCTGAAATTATTTATTTTTGGTCAAGGAAATAATTTTATGTAAGTTCCAGTGTTGGAATGAATGGGTATAAATGGCTTATGGCTCCCAAGAACTCATTTTCTTTTCTTTGTGTGTCACCTTTAGGTGGGTAACACTGAGGAACCAGATGAGATGCCATTACCAGATTCTGAGAGCGTGTACGTTATTCCTGGAAGTATTTTGCTATGGAAGATAACTCCAAGACCTCCAAATTCAGCACAGGTCAGCTATGCTTCTGCTTATTGAGAGTGTGTGTTACCCTGTTATTCTGTATGTTCAACCCAAAGCGAATCCATTTGTTGTCTTTTTCATTAACAAGTCTGGATTTGTCAGTTTATTGCAACAAACTTTCCCACTACAATTGTAACCCTATAATGCGGGGTTGGAGGGATAACTGCCGCAGGCATGACTCCAGAGTTAGCAGAATTTCTCTGGAAAACGGGATGCTTCATGTAGCTAGTGGTATGGGGACTTTCCCCACCTCGTCTCTCCACCCTGCTCCCCCCACCGAGGTACTTGCCTTGTGAGAAATCTCTTCTGAAGGGCTTTATTAGAGGACACTTCCTAGGAGACGCTTGCAAAGCCTGCGTAGCATGAGTCGGTGTGTGAAGGGCTGTGGAGCTGGAGAGCCCGTGGTTGGAATGCAAGGGTATGTGTGCAACAGGAAAGACAACTGGAAGATGAAAAAGGTGCCCTCGGTGGGTTAATCGAGGGGGAAATCTCTCTACAGAGATAGGGAAAATACCAGTAGGACTGGAAAAAGAAGATAAGAGAGAAATAGTGCACTGAGTAACTGGATGCTGGCCTGCTTAAACACCTACACTCTGCCTGATAGTGCAGTTTTGCTGGTATCTTAAGTATTGCTATCTTGAGTGATTAAATAATAAAAAAGCACTTGGATGCTTGTTTTCAGACAGCAGCTTTCTTGTGTATTAAGACTAGCAGCTAGAGACATCATAAAGTCACCTTTTATCTTTGTCTTTGAATTTCAGATGTATAATTTTACTAGCTTTGCTATGGCTTTGAATGAGTTGGACAAAGAAATGGAGAGTGTCATTCCCAAAACTGACTGCCGACTACGACCAGATATCAGAGCCATGGAAAATGGAGAAATAGGTAACTTCAGTTATTGGCAAAGGTGTTTTTATTTTTTGTTAAAACTGAGGGACTGGAAAAAAAAGGAAGTTTCACATTCAAGTTGTTAGATGAACTGTTAGATTAAGTAGCTACCTATATACATTCCTCCGTGCCGCAACACAGTCACTCTTTAATATAGCCTTCTGCAGGCTGTGGTATGCTTCTAGTGAGAGGTGTGTCACCCACCCATACTGGGGCTGGTTGGGATGGAGTTAATGTTCCTCACAGCAGCCCAGCTGTGTTTTAGGCTGGTGAGACAAGCAGTGTTGATGACACATCAGTGTTTTGGCTGTGGTTGATCAACACATCTGAACAGTGTTAAGGCCTTCTCTGTTTCTGGGGTTGGCAAGAGGCTGGGAGGGGACACAGTCAGGACAGCTGACCCAAACTGACCGAAGAGAGATTCCATACCACATAACGTCATGCTCAGCAATCAATTGTATGGGTTGGGGAAGCAGCTGATGCTTGGAGACTGGCTGGGTACAGGTCTGCTGGTGGAAAGTAGTAAGTGATAGCCTCTGCATCACTTTTTCCTCCATTTTTTTTCTGCTTTCCCTTCACTTACTAAACTGTCTCTAATTTCACCTGTATGTTTTGCTTTTGCTCTTTGATTCTCTCCCTTAACCCTCTGGGGTGGATGGGAGTGAACAAGCGGCTTGTGGGTGCTTAATTGCTGGCCAGGAACTCACCACACCACCTCCTTGCTTATGTTCTTCCATAAAAGCAAGAATCTTAAACTTCACGATGCCATGCTTTTTATCTAGCTTTTAGGCCCTCTGCTGTGCTCCATAGTCAAGCCCTATAATTGGAAACTAGTCGAAGGAGACAATCTCTGAGCATCGAAAGGAAGTATTTGTGAACTTTTCAGTTCTCTGGTTCCATCAGCCGGATGCAAAAGGAGTGTTTCGATGTGCCAGTTCTGAGAAATGCAGTCTAAACTATTTAAGTGAAACTGCAATGCCAAAAAATAAGCTTGATGCAAAATTATTCTTCACTGGGAGTTAAACACTTCTGTTGTCCTAGAATAGTGAATTAGAAATACATGAGAGACTTTCAGTGAGTAGAAATAGTGTGCTGCTTAGAAACCTCATAGAGATTGTTACTGTAGATGCTGTAGAGTGAAAAGTGTCTTTTAGTCTTCTGACACTTGACTTGATATTAAATACTTCAATGTGGTGTGGAACAGCCTTCCCCTGGCTCTCTTTTGCTCCTTTTTCTTTGGCATTTTGCATATTAAAGCGGGATGGCCAGCTTTGTAGACTGAAAGCTGGGGGCTCTTGCTTTCTCTGGATTGCTAAGTGATTGGGGTAAGTTGTGAAACCTCTGATTCAGTTTGACCTGTGTGATAGGGCAGTGACTGTGACTACTTCTGATAAATAGTCTGAGATCGAGGTCAGAAAAACAGTGACACGGGCATAGTACAGTGCAGTTGTACTTGTGTGGGTGTTTTTCCTCAGAAGCTGATAATCACTTCTTTGAGGCTTTTAAAAAAGCAGATCAGTGAATTCCCACAACCAGTCTCTTCTGCCTGTATGATTCTTTCATGGCCAGCAGGATGGACATTCATGGTTCAGAGCATCCCCCGTAATTTGTGTGTCTGAACTTGAAGTGCACATAACTGTTATTAGCAACAGACCGTATTCCTTAACTATACTAACAGCATAAAGTTTGTCTAGCAGATAGACTGGTAATATGTAGTGTGTTAGTAGTAGCTGGCAGGGTAACTGGGACTGGCTGATAGTCTTCCTAAAAGTATTCTCTCAACTGTTTCTTTCCCAGATGTTTATGAAATGCTTTTTGAGGATTCGGGTATGAAAGAGATTGCCCTTCACCTAATCTGCTGCTTAGTCTGAGTTGCCCTTCTGACCATCCTTTATGCCAAATAGAAGCAACTGTTCTGCTTGTTTAGGACCATGACCTTAGTACGTTAACAAAAAAATGAAGGAATGCTGCAGAGAGACAATTCTGTGTGGTTTGGAAATGAGTATTCCAACCCCTGTTGATCAGGAACTAGGCATTAGTAACAACTTGCCCCAAACCTTAACAAGAAGCAGGTGGCCAGACTCCGGAAAGAAATCCAGCATATCTTCATCAGTTTCCCTACTGAAATAAATTCTAGGTATGCCACCTCCCCTACCTCACATTTGCTGTCACATAAACATGTTTTCAGGGTCCTCGGGCCATGGATAAACATATTTAGCAGTCTTGAAAGAGTGGAATTCCATTGGCTGATCTTGTGCCCCAGCTGGCCTGGCTTTGCTCTTAGACTAAACCAGAAGCTCTTCTGTGTTACGTAGGCGGCTTTGAAAATGGACAACGTTTACTACTTCCCTTATTTATTTGCTGGGTCAGATGAAGTAATGTCCCTGTCTTATAATACACTTTAACATCTTCTGTACTTCTGTTTCTGTTTTTATTCCTTCAAGATCTAGCTAGTGAAGAAAAGAAAAGGCTAGAAGAAAAACAAAGGACTGCCCGCAAAAATCGTTCAAAGTCAGAGGAAGACTGGAAGACGAGGTTAGTGCGCTTGCCTCTGTGTGTGTGTAGTTACATAAAGGTTTTGAACATTCCAGTTAACTGCCGGTCCGCACCGGTGATGTACAGTGTTGTGTCAGCATGAAGAGCTGACGTCATCAGGTTGTATTTGCAGACTTGGTCCCTGCGGGCTGTAGCACTTCCAGAGAGAAGCATCAGGCCTGATCTCAGTTCCTTCCCTCTCACTGCTTGCACACCCGTATTCAAATACAAATGCTGTCGTCTTCTCTGAGCATCTCTTGGTTCTGACATGAAAAAGATGTTGCTGCTGATAGCTGTTGGAAGGTCTGTTGTTGCTGATTAATTTAGAATTGCCTCAAATTTGCATGCTTGGCCAAAGAGAAGAGGAAATTCTTCCTCTGGTGAACCTGATAGCTTATTGCCCAGGACTTGTGGGTCGGTTGCTGTGTGCTGGCCATACCGTATTCCCACGGCATACAGTTATGCTCAAAGTTGGTGAAGTGACTTTGTCGCCACAATATCCCAGGCATTGTCTCCATTCTGAGAGGGCTACTAACTACAAAAGTCAGGAGAGCTAAGGGGAAAATTAGCTTGCAGGGGATCTGCCAGGATGGGTTTTCCTGGGGTGGTTTTTTTTTTGTTGCTGTTGGTTTGGGTGCTTTTCTTACTGTAAGATGAGAGGGAGCTCTTACACAGAAGCTAAGTGGAAACTCTGAAAACATAACCAAATGAATCTAGTTTGACCAGACAAGATCTAATTAAAAGTATAGTAATAAATTGGCAGTCTCTTTACTGAAAAAAATGATAGGGCTGAACTCTCTAAAAGTAAGCAAGCTTCATCTCTTTCCTGTTACCTGGCTATTAATACACCCAGACACTGTGGATTAAATATCTTTAAAATGTCTGTTTGTAACTATAAATTACTTTTTTTCTTTTTTTCAAATGAAGTCACCCATCATCCCAGAGTCCCAGGTTTGGACATGTCTGCCTTTGTCTTTTTCCTGTGCCTGCTCTCCTGAAGTGTTTGGGTTTGTTTGCCCTGAGACTGGTGGAAAATAACATCTTTGTAATGCTTCCAAGTAAACATGTTAAGTGCTGGACAGCCTTGCATCTCCCTTATTCTTTCCTGAATTCAGAGTGGTTCTAGCTCTCACCGAGTGTTTTGAAAGCAAGGGATTGTTACTCTCTGTTCTACCAGGTGCCTGAAGTAGCTTAAGATACAACTCAAAGCACCTGAGGTTGGTATTGGAAATAGGGGAATTCCCAAGGGGCAAATGCGAGCAGTGGTGTTTGGGGTGTGTGGTCAGTGCAGACACCATTCACGAGGTTCATCGGTTGGTGGTGGTGTGCAGGTACTGTAGACCCGCTCAGCACTTGCCTGGGATATCCTTTAAGAACTCTTTGTTTTCCAGGACGTTTCTAAAGCTTTGGCAGAAAATTCATAGTGTGTGATCTCTTCAGTAGGAACGCCAAGTGTGACTGCCTCCAAAGGGTGAACCTAAAGTGTGTAGGAAGAGTTGTGTTTGGGGGGCGGGGGAAATGCATACTGGGAAGGGGAACGCTCCTACCTCTTCCTAGGAGATCACCTGCAGTTATAATCTGTAGTGTCATACAAACTGATGTAATCTAATGCCATTGCTTTGCCACAGAAAAGCAGGCTTCTTGCTTTGTAGAAGAGTTCCTCCTTTAAGACAATTCTCCAAAGTGCCTAGTGATTTATTTTATTTTTTTTTAGAAGTGGGGTCCTGGTGTTTCTGAAGAAGGGATTCATGTTGAACACTTAATGTTTGAGAGACTGACTAGTAGTCTTGAGTAAAAGACTAGTTCAGTTCTGAAACACAACAGTGGTCTGTTGCTCTTGATGAAAATCAGTCCCCTCCTTCCCCCATCGCTTACCTGGCTAGATTATCTGATTGCTTTGGGTCTCCTCTCTCTCTCACACTTAGTTCTTCCCATCGCCTTTCCCCTTCCTATTGAAGTAGGTGGTCGCTGGGAGAGGGGCACGTTGTCCTGACCTGTACAAGTGTTGAAGACACACTAGTGAGGTATTGGGTGGTAGAATTCCTTAATCTGAGAGATGAGGTAACTGTGCTTATAGCCCTGCCTCTCAGCAAATGCTTGGCTTTGTGCTCTGGCGTGAGCTGCTACTACCTGTAAATCAGGAGATGAACTGGACACGTTCCGTTGACTTCAGTGCAGTTAACCAGGACAGCAGGAGAACCACTGATGTGTTCAACTGAAGACGGTACCAGGCATTTCTTCCGATACGCATCTCAAATCTTTTGAGTCAAGCAAGACTTGTGTATTAGCTGCCCTGCTTTGTACCATGACACTGCAGTTCTGGTGCCCTTTATGACTTGGATCTTTTTAAAAAACAAAAGCATATTTGGTCTGAATGTGCTTTCATTTCTGTTCTGAAACATTATGGTATCCTGGAAGGGAAGAGCTGAGTTAATGGGCTGCCTTGCACACGCATAACTTACTTCAGTGAGCGTGTTCATTGCATAGAAAGGAAGAACAGACTTTTTGGCCGGCGAGGAGGTGAAAGGAAGCTGTGGAGCTTATTAACCAGAGGAACAGCTTGTAGCAAGCTGACTTGTACCAGCTTAGCACAAACTTACAAGTAACTTCACGCAGGTGGAATCGGCTTTCTGGGCATTCAGGGTGGCCTCCCAGCGCTAACAGTGTGGTATAACACAGTGAAGTTGTAAGAAGGCAGGACTTCTCCTGCAGCCTGTGGGTGATGCTTCATCTGCACTGGGTGTAGCTGGCACACGTGTTCTGAGTTAAGTGCATTGCAAAAAAAAAAAGCTTTAAAAAACAAGGGGAAATCTAGATCCTGGAGAAATAATGGTTTTTCTGTTTTCAGGACTGCAGTGCTTGTGGTGTTTACGTCTTGCAAAAACTGTTACTGCTTATGCATGCCAAAATGATCGTTCACAACTGCTTTGAACTAAAACTGTACCTCTACTTTTTTATGCAGTAGTCTTGACTGCGTCAAGTGACAAAACACCGGTGTCAGTAATTTCACCTAGGAGACATCTGAGCGGTGTGGTGAACGGGGAGATCTAGCCACTGACGATGACTTTAAATTCACTTACAAATTTAAAACCAAGAGGGCTCCTGCAATCACAGTAATGACTTTGAACAATAAACTGCTGAAGATGCAGCAAAGCAGTTCTGAACTTTTGTAGAAGTGCTTGTTAATAACTTCACTAACATGCTGTATGTTTCTTTGCAGATGGTTCCACCAAGGCCCCAATCCCTATACTGGCACACAGGACTGGCTTTATTCTGGCAACTACTGGGACAGAAACTACTTTAACTTGCCTGATATTTATTAAAATGCAGCAAGGAGCCTGTGACTGATACAAATAAGTCTTAATCTGTTTTAATGTTTTCCTTTGTTTTACTTATCTCCTGAAAAAACTGACATGTTATCAAACAGACTATTAAGCATCTCCACAGTAAATCTGGTGGTACATGATCCCATAGGTAGGGGAGTGATTTGTCTGGCTGATGGTGGGTCCTGTGTGGACAAAGTAAGTTGCCATGGTTTTGTGCAGAATACACCTATATTAGGTTGTGGTGTATGAGGACTAGAACACCTTTGGCTGTTCTGTGAATACTTTCTTTCGTAGATAACATTGGCACAAGTAAAACTGATTTTATTTATTGTGACACGGGAATGTTTAAAAACACACACAGTAATTGTGATATTCTGTTCTTAAATGAGGAAGGGTGTGTCACTTTTGTAAAGATGTAATTTTTTCATAAAGTGACTTTTCTTTTACTAAAGTAAAAGAGCTTGAATCCTGAGCTCTGGTCAGAGATTCCAGAAGTGTTCCCATCTCTGGAGCATTAATGCAGTTGTTTCAGCTGGTAACGTTACTCAGAGATATTTATTCAATGTTTTGTGCAGTGTGTTTTGAATTTTGCTCTCCTGTTTTGCTACCAACCTTATGGTTTAAGGAATTAAGAGCCATTTAAATATCTACAGATTTAATTTGAACTGCACACTAGTAACAGGTTTTAAAAGAATCTGTTTCACGCACTAGAAGTTCTGGTGCCCGGCACCACTGCAAAAAGGCAAGGACCGAATCAGTCCAGGGCCCGGTGGATCACGGGGAGGGGACAGGACCTGTCTCTCTACTGTGCAGACTCCCTGGAGGAAGCCTTGCGCGTTTCAAAGGTAGAACAGCACCTCTGCGAGGCCTCCTGTGCACAGCTGCTTTACCCCTTTTCGGTGGGGTGCATTCAATCTTAGAGTGTAAGTTTATATCGAACTGTGTACAGAGCTTCTAGAGGGCAAGCTGCTCTTTGTACAATATTTTAACTGCTGTCTGGAGGTTAGTGTTAATTGAATAATTTAATTGCTACTAAATAAAGGCTTCAAAACTTCTTGCATCTAGTCTAAAGTGAGTGGTGTTGGACAGTGCTGACCCTTCCCGAACAAGCCTACTCTAAAAGCTGCTGCAATTAAGTCGCACAGTGTGCTTCCTGGGGCTCCAGGGACCTCTTGGTAGTGAGGCACATCTGCATAGAGAAGGGGAAGCCTTTTCTTTGGCAGCCTTTCCTGTGGGGCCCAGTTCTCAGTGACCCGGAGATGCAGAAACTGAAGACCTGCGCTGTCTCATGGAAGCCTCATCTCTGCACTCAAGCCTCTACTCTGGCTAGCATTTTGTGAAGGGTCTGTCTTAATTCCTGTGCAACTTCAATCTGTAGAAACAGTCTAGCTGTCGGCTCAAGGCTTCAGCAGGTCACCCAGCAACGAACACTCAGTGCTAGGGAAAACAAAGCATTTCATTCCTGCATGCCCACCTACGTACAAGAAGGGGAAACCTCTACACACCATCAACTCTTCTGCTGTTTTGAATGACTTCTGTTTCATAAGAACAGATTTTATTTTTTTCTAGACCTATTTATACTTCAGGACCTGGCAGATTGAAGTTACCATAGCTGTAGTTGTGAAGCCTCTAAAGCAAAATAAAGGTACTTTTTCTTAACTCTTTCCTCAAAGCATAACTTCAGCTTCAGTCCTCCTCAATGAACCTGTAGTTTGAATGAACTGACCACCTGTGAGAGCGATTCCTCCTAACTGAAAGTACAACTGTCCTCTTGCTCCTGACATTTGTGTACTGTTCCTCCCTCGAGTACAACTCTGGCGGTGTAGGCTACACCTAGTTACACTGAACTAACTTTGGCTCTGGTTAAGGGGTCAGCAGGGTTGGGGTGTAGGCAGTGAAGAGGCTGGGCTGCTCTTCAGTGAAACAGCTGCAGCAGATGTGTCTCAGTGGTCATCCCGAGGGACCTGGGCAGGCTGTAGAGGTGGGCCCGTGTGAACCTCATGAAGTTCAACAAGGCCAAGCACATGGGTCAGGGCAATCCCAAGCACAAATACAGGCTGGGCAGAGAATGGATTGAGAGCAGCCCTGAGGAGGAGGACTTGGGGGTGTTGATTGACGAGAAGCTCAACATGACCCGGCCATGTGCACTGGTGGCCCAGAAAGCCACCCGTGTCCTGGGCTGCATCCCAAGCAGCGTGACCAGCAGGGCGAGGGAGGGGATTCTGCCCCTCTGCTCCGCTCCGGTGAGACCCCCCTGCAGTACTGCCTTCAGCTCTGGGGTCCTCAGCACAAGGAGGACATGGACCTGTTGGAGCGAGTCCAGAGGAGGCCACGAAGAGGCTCCGAGGGCTATGAGCCTATGTGCCACTTTCATGTGACTGGCTATGGATAATCCCACAGTAAGCAAAAACAACGTGCATCCATTTGGGTTGGAACTTTGTCTCGAAATATCTTAAAAGAACAAACAAACAGCAACTATCTTACTGCTAACGAGCTCAAATTTTTCAACCAGTTCCGTTATATCCAGAGTTGGATGCTCTGAAAACAGAAGTTAAGCTGGAGTAGGATGGCACTCTCAAAATAGCTCAGCTCTTCAGATGAAGCACTGGTAGGAACAAACCTTTTTGAAAAGCGATGAGCTCTTGGAAATAGCAAAAAACTCAGCAATGTCATCCGGGTGGTTTTCTATGACAGCCCGGCTCACCCCCTCAAGCAGGGTCTGGAGGCCGTGTGGAACAATCAGCTTCCTCTTGGAAGACTGCATCTTCACCCACTCAAGTTGGCTTACGGTTTCTCATCTGTACAAACAGAACCCCTCGGCTGAGCGTCCACCCTGCCCCAGTGTGAAATGTCTCAACACCGACGGCGTGATTGCAGCTGCTCATCCCTAACTTTCCAGCTCATTCCTTTGCTTTCCAGTACATGTTTTCAGTGGATACCCACAAGACCATTTTCTGTTCCAATAAAACAAGCACACAAAAAGGTAACTGTACAGTGCCATATTTTCAAGGTTACCACTGTGTTTCTGAGGATCACGAAGGCTGAAGATCACGGGGACAAGCCATGATCAGATGTGTGTCACAGCATAAAAACTTTTATCCACCGACAATGCTACAGATCAGCCTTTGTCAAAGTTGGAAAATCATCGTTTACCTACCTGCTCTGGCACTCCTGGATGTCTGCATCTCTACAAAATCCCGAGGGGAATTCCAGCAGCACTGAAGACTTAAGACTCAAGTGTCATTGCTGCTAAAGCATTTAGACCATCTACAATAGCTTCCTTTAATAAGTAACATATTCATAACAGGTCATTCAAAATTAACAGAACATTAGTTCTTTATATATACTAATACTTTACTTTAGTTCACTGGAAAGTATGTTAACAGTAAACTCACTGCAAAATACTTCTTCCATAAAAGAATCCTTACAAAATAATTTCTCATTAAGAAAAACTTCTCAGAATAGCTCATCAGTCCTGGAGAGGGATAACACAGACCATAATATTTAAAACATTCCATATGAGTATGCTGACTTACAAAATTAGGAAGAATACCTTTCCTATAGAAAGAATATCATACACTTCAAGAATATATATATATAAGGACTAGAAAATGTATCAGTTCTGGCGTTGGGATAGTAATCTGAAGCCTAGATTTTTATATGGAAAACATCTGGAAGCAACAGGACCTCATAAAGGCATTAAACATACCTGGGTGCGAAGGCAGTCCGGTGGGTACTTTGAAACCATCCTCAACGAATACAGATCAAGAGAGAACTTGTAAATTTGCTTCAACAGCCTTCAAAATCCTAGGTCTGCAAAGCTCTGCACAGCCAAAGCTTCAAAGATGTTTAAGTACAGATGTCATCAACCACAGAAAAACTTGTTATCAGAGGTAACAGAACAGAAGCATAAACTTCCTTAAATATTTAAAAAGGCTTCAGCCCCTAACACACAAGTGTTTCTGTCTGAAATTTAAGGAGAGCTATAGGAAAAAATACGTCTGGAAACTAATTCACTGCGCTGGAACCTGAATGTCGGTTTTTTAAGTAAATCCATCACAGCAACTGTACCAGCTGCTCTACTAAAACAAGTTGCCGTTTGGCCCAAAACTGCAGAGCCTGGCAGGCCAAGAGCAGTTTGCCCAACTGAAGGTAATTACCTTGGCCTACCATCCTCCGCCCCATCGGCAGAAGAAATAGCTTCCAGCCAACATTCAAGTCTGAGAAGACAGAAACTGGACACAAGTTCAGCAAATCAGTCCCAGATAAGCCTTACTTTTCTGCCAAAAAAGGATCAGGTCATTCATTAACTCTTCATTAGATAGTTCACAACAGGTTAATGAATTGCACTGGTTGGGGCATTTGGGGTGTGTTCAGTTTTAATTTGGCTTTTTAACTTGCAAACTCTTTCACAGGTTCAGATAAATAGGTAGGAGAAGAGGACTTGAATTTTTTGCAAGAACCATCTTTGTTGTTTCTACCTGCCACAGACTTCAGCAGAATTCCAAGTAGAGGTTTGCATTCCTATACAAAAATCTCCATGAAAACCTTCTTGCTTTTCCTACCAAAGGTACAAGATACTATTTTTATTTAAGGTGTCTTTATATGTATCTCTCCGATTCTCTTTGTCTTTCCCTTCATCGCAGACTTTGCTACAAGTGGGGAGAAGTATATGTCCCGGCAGTACAATTATCATTTTTCCATACAGTCACATTTTTTTTTAAAGACTCGGAGGCGTTTGTTACGTACATGGTTTTGCTCAGCAAAGGCTGACAATCTCTCTCTTCCTCCATTCCCCTCTCAAATATTCAAACTCAAGCAAGATTTCCCCCCCTGCCTTAACCTCGTCACCTGGCAGCCCCTTCTGGACATCTCCTATAGGTAAGCACAGCTTGCCAAAAAATGACTGGGAAAAAAACTGAGGACCAGCCAGTCCTGCTGAGCTTAACAGATTACTTGATCGGAACAGCGTCTTGGAAGAAGTCAGACCAAAAGATAAACAGCATTTTGGAAAAAGCAACA